TTATTGTAGAGATGAGGTCTTGCCAAGTTGCCCGGGTTGGTCTTGAACATATGGGCTCAGGCAATCCACTCACCTCGGCCTCCCAAAGTGTTGGGATTACAGGCTGAGCCACCCAGCCCGGCCACCAGTGTCTTATTTTAATTAATTATTTTATTTTATTGTAGAGATGAGGTCTGGCCAAGTTGCTCAGGCTGGTCTCTAACCCCTGGGCTCAGACAATCCTCTCATCTTTACCTCCCAAAGTGCTGGGATTACAGGTGTGAGCCACCATGCCCCAGTGTTTTAATTTCTAGTATTTTCTTTTCCATTAAAGTAAAGAATTTTAAATTTCAAGATGGAATTCAGGGCTTTCTGACTCTGATTTTTTAAATTTCAAGATTCAGGGCCTTCAGACTCTGGTTTTTTTTTTTTTTTTGGAGTCAGGGTCTCCCTCTGTCGCCCAGGCTGGGGTGCAGTGGCACCCTCATGGTCATAGCCACCCTGACCTGCTGGGCTCAGGTGATCCTTCTGCCTCAGCCTTCCAAGTAGCTGGAACCACAAGTGTGTACCACCACACTGCTAATTTTTTTGATCCATTGTAGAGATGAGGTCTTGCCAAGGGCCTGGGTCTGAGTTCTCAAGACTAGAGAATCCTGTTCTACACTCGTGCACCAACTCTTCCGATTCCCTGCCACCATCTGAGAGGTGGATTCCAGAGCAAATGGAGGTGGAGGCGAAGGGACTGCTTCACCCTTTATGGGAGGTGGAGGCGAAGGGACTGCTTGAGCCCAGAGTTTGAGATCAGCCTAAAAAATCTAGGGAGATCCTGTCTAAGGAAGGAAGGGAGGGAGGGAGGGAGGAAGGAAGGGAGGAAGGAAGGAAGGAAGGAAGGAAGGAAGGAAACAAACCCCTACAAAACATTAGCCAGGCTGAGGCAGGAGGATTGCTTGAGCCTAGAAGTTTGAGGTTACTGTGAGCTATGATCTTGCTGCTGGGCTCCAACCTGGGTGACAGAGCAAGATCCTGTCTCTATTAAAAAGAAAAAACCCAAAAAACCTACTCACAAACTAAATACACAAAACCAACACCTCTGCCTGATTGCTTTCATTTGCGCCTCCAAAATACCTTTATGAATCCCCTCTACTGTGAAACTTGAGCAGCTTTATTGGGGTTTACCAGGTCCGTATACAACAGACCCCAAAATCCTTCCTGAAGTCCACAAGCTCATGGCATCCACCCTCAACTTGACTCATCTGGTAATACATTTTTTTTTGAGTTGGTATCTCACTCTGTCGCCCAGACTGGAGTACAGTGGCACACTCCTGGCCACCACATCCTCGGCCTGCTGGGCCCTGGCGATCCTTCTGTCTCAGCCTTTCAAGTAGCCGGAACTCCAGGCGCATGCTACCACGTCCGGCTAATTTTTGGTTTATTGTAGAGATGAGGTCTCACCAAGTTGCCTGGGTGGGTCTAGAACCCGCGGGTTCAGGCAATCCACTTGCCTCGGCCTCCCAAAGTGCTGGGATTACAGGCTGAGCCACCAAGCTCAGCTGGTGACACATTTTTTATCTGGAGTCAGACCTCTCATTTGCTGACTGACTTTAGGGTTGCACCTGCTGCTTTTTTTGGTGACAATTACTTAACCTTCTAAATACTTCATTTTAAATTTTCCTAATTTCAATAATGTTATCCAGACACATGATAAATACACACAAGGGTAGTATATGTTAAAAAATAATCCATCTCATCAAGTGCAGTGACTTATACCTGTCACTTTGGGAGGCAGAGATGAGAGGACTGCCTGAGCCCTGGGGTTCAAGAACAGCCTGGGAAACTTGGTAAGACCTCGTCTTTACAATAAATAAAAAAATTAGCCAGGCGTGGTGGCACGCGCCTGTAGTTCCAGCTACTTGGGAGGCTGAAGCCGAAGGATCGCCTAAGCCCAGCAGGTTGAGGCTGCGATGGTTGTGAGCGTGCCACTGCACTCCAGCCTGGGCAGCAGATGGAGACTCTGACTCAAAAACAAAACAAACCAAAACAAAGCAAAAAACAACAAAAAAAACCAAGCCAGGTGCAGTGACACACGCCTATAATCCTAGCACTTTGGGAGGCCAAGGTGAGAGGACTGCCTGAGCCCATGGGTTCTAGACCAGCCTGGGCAACTTGGCGAGGCCTCATCTCTACAATAAATCAAGAAAAATTAGCCGGGTGTGGTGGCACATGCCTGTGGTTCCAGTTTCTTGAAAGGCTGAGGTGGAAGGATCGCCTGAGCCCAGCAGGTCGAGGCTGCAGTGGTCGTGAGCGTGTCATTGCGCTCCAGCCTGGGTGACAGAGTGAGACTCCGACTCAAAAAGAAAAAAACAATTTTTTTCCCCTGCCACCGCCCCCCCCCACTTCCCCTCCTGAGGCAACCGCCATCCCCAGGTAGAGCTGTGGTCACACTTTTGTGTTCAACCAGGAATATTCTAGATCTGTGCAAATGCTGATGCGTATGCTGCAGCTTTTTTGGGAGGTGTGTTGGTTCATTAAAGGTGTGACACACACATCGCTTTTTTAACTTGAAACAGAAGCTTGGAGCTTGTTAGGGCTGCAGAATATTCTGTGGAATGACGATAATACATTTTCCGGCCAGTCCTCTGTTTGTAGGTGCTTTTTTTCACTCTTAGGCAGAGCACACAGTACAAACTAAATCTTCTTGCCCGTGCTCTACTTCCCTGCCACTGAATCTGTAGAATGTTTTTTTAAATTTGAGTCAAGGTCTCTATCATTCAGAGACTGGAGTGCAGTGGTGTGATCACAGCTCACCACAGTCTCTACCTCCTGGGCTCAGGCAATCCTTCTGCTTCAGCCTCCTGAGTAGCTGGAACTGTAGACATGTACCATCATACTTGGCTAATTGTTTTGATTTTTTTTTTTTTTTTTGGTAGAGACAACGTCTCTATATTGCCTAGGCTGGTTTTGAACTCCTAGGCTAGGGTCAAGCGATCCTCCTGCCTCGGTCTCCCAATGTGCAGGGATTACAGTCACGAGCCACCTTGCCTGACCTATAGCATGCTCTTAGTGGCAGCAGAATACTCTGGTATGAGTGTAATTAATGTATTATTTGACAGTTCTCTGTTTGTAGACATCTGTTGTTTCCGGTCTTAGGTAGAGCTCGCAGGGCAAGGTGAATTATCGCCTCGCCCATGCTTGACTTCCCTGTGACTGTGTTTCTAGGAGACTGCTGGGTCAAAGGCCATTTGGACCAAGTGAGAGTCTTCACCCTTGTTGGTGGGTCGGGTGAGGGCCCCTCTGGGAATGAGAGGTTTCTCTGGGGGAACGTGCCCGTACGAGGTACACCTTTTTTGTGAATTTCTTGCGAACTAGCTGCTGTGTACACCTCCGGGCCAACTCTTGGGGCTCCCGGGCCTCCCTTGGGCTGATCCAGGATGATCCCTAACTGTGGGGTCTGTTCACCCTCCAGGTGCCTGTGAAAGCATTTAAGTTCCATGCAGGACCAGGTCTCCAAGCAGCACCTTGAATGTTTGTTCAGGATTTTCCTGAAGGCTGTCAGGGCGCCAGAGGGTTCTTTCCTGGGCGCCGGGTTTTGGGACCCCATCGTCCTCTTCCTTTGTGAGCCTTCTGGAAGATACTCTCCCTTATCACTGAAAGGAAACCATCAGGAGGCCTCTACTATGCCACACTGGACGCGTTAACCCTCGTCAGCAGCTCTTCTATGGACGGAGAGACAGATGCTCTGCGCAGCCTGCATGCTGGGACTTGCCTGCGGGGTAGCGCTGGGGCAGGAATGTCTTTGAGGATAGTCATCTTCCCAGATTTCACACCCCATTCCGTCCTCCATGTTCATGGCGGAGTTCTCTCCTGTCTAGCGTCTGGAGTCTTCCTTCCTCAGGACGAGGCGTGCCAGGCCGTGCCCTCACGTCGTCCCTAAGCCAATGGGACCACCCTCGGGCATGGACCGGAGTGAAGTCCCTACAGGTGAAGAGTGGTAGAAGTGTCCATGTGTCTAAATGAGATTCTAGGAGATGCAGGCCTGGGGTGGGTGGGCAAGAGTGGGGCTGGCATTTTCCAGGTGCCAGTCAGCAAGAATGCAATTCAATCTGTGTCTCTGGAGGAGGCCTCTGTTGGGGGCCTACCAGGGAAGGGCCTTGAGAACTTTCTGGTGGGCAGGGTATGTTTCTTTTAGAACAGTTACAATTTGTTAGCCTGATAAACACGAATAAATAATGTTTTCTTTCCCAGTGAAGTATGTGTGTTTTTGTTTCCTTGAAGCGTGGGGCCTTCTTGGTCTGTGTTTTAAGGTTTTCTGTTTTGGTACCTGTGTGACAACTCTTGGCAACTTGGCCATGGCCTTGTCCACAGGGACACAGTAGAGAAGGGTGGTGGTTGTGGCAAAATGGAGGGCACATTTCCATCTTAAAGTGGTGGCTGTTTTTCAGCTGTATCTACTGCCATGAGGCCTGCAGATCCTGATTCTTTTTTTTTTTTTTTTTTTAATAATATTTATTCTTGGGCAACCCCCTTGGGTCCCTTCCTACTGCGGGAACTGTTCTGTTCTCTCAATAAATTCTGCTTTATCACAATAATAATAATAATAATAATAATAGCAATTCTTCTTCTTCTTCTTTTTGTTTTTATAGCGACAGATCCTCTCTCTGGTCTCAAACTCCTGGGCTCAAGCAGTCCTCCTCCTTGGCCTCCCAAGGTGCTGAGATTACAGGTGTTTGCCTCAGTGCCTGACCCTGATCTGATTTTTTAAGAGAAGCCAGAAATCTAGGTTATTATGTGAAGTTTCCTGATTTTTGTATTTTGGCAACAAATTAAGTTCTTACAAAAATGTTATGTAGGTTGAAGAGAGATCGTCTGACCTCTGAGATAGACAGCGAAGAGGGGAGCACGTTTATTCTAGGAGGAGAACACTAACATGGTGTGGGGAGTTAGGGGAGAGAATGCACGCTGTCCTTCACGCCCCTCCCAGCCTCCCGACTGCTTTCAAACGTGTGGTTCTGTGTCTCTTTCAGATCCTGGCTCTACAGAGAGAACAGCCCAGAAAAGAAAGTTCCCCAGCCCTCCTCATTCTTCTAATGGCCACTCGCCGCAGGACACATCAACAAGCCCCATTAAAAAGAAAAAGAAACCTGGCTTATTGAACAATAACAGCAAGGAACAGGTAAAGGCGCCCCTGGGAACGGCGTCTACACAGGCGGGACAGAGGCCAGTGGGCAGCTGAGGCTCCCCGGGTTTTCCTAGACATGTACAAGCGCTGCTTTGCCCTGGCTGTCGTTTGCGTAGGATCAGAAAGGCAGCTCTGAGGGACCCATGTGGAACTTTCCAGTGGGTTTGCAGATCTTTTTTGGGAAGAGGGCAGAGGCCCAGGCTAGAGGAGGGTATTGTTCTTGAGGGTTTGGGATTTTCCCTGGGATTAATTTTTCTCACGTTTTTAGGTTGGTTTCCCCTGGGTGGCCTGAGGACTTTTTCCCATCCTGGGCTGGGTCAGTGAGACTGATTGCTCAGCTCTGTCTGGAGGTGGTTGCATGCTCCCTCGTGGTCTCAGTTTTCTCATCTGTAAAATGAGTGGTCTAGATCTGGGTAAGAGGCACCGCCTGGATACTGGTAGTTCCCTGTTGGGCACACATCCCAGGAAACAGGACTCTTTCCCAGACCTCACCCTCGCCTGGAAGCCAGGACCAATTAGCTTGATACGGAAAATCCATTCGCCATTTGGATCTTGTCTAAGGAACCTTCTAGCTTCGAAATTCTCTGATGCAGGCTGGGTACTCTTCTGATTTAAAAAGTGGAGTGGTGCTGGCCGGGCGTGGTGGCTCATGCCTATAATCCCAGCACTTTGGGAGGCTGAGGTGAGAGGATTGCCGGAGCCCACGGGTTCAAGACCAGCTTGGGCAACTTGGCGAGACCTCATCTCTACAATGAATAAAAAAATTAGCTAGACATGGTACTGTAGACCTGTAGTTCCAGCTGCTTGGAAGATTGAGGTGGAAGGATTACCTGAGTCCAGCAGGCCGAGGCTGTGATGGCTGTGAGTGTGTCACTTCACTCTAGCCTGGGCGATAGAGTGAGACTCCACCTTTAAAAAAAAAAAAAAAAAAAAAAAAAGAGAAAAAAAAGAAACAGTGTCCCAGGGCCCCCAAGACCCCCTGTCCTCAGCAGCCATTCCTGGGGATGCAGTCCTCCGTCTTGTGCGTTACTGAGCGGTGGAATGGGGCCTGGGATCTAAGGTCGAATTAAACGCGATTTAAAAACGGGAGGGGACCTAGCAGTGGTTAAATGCCCGGGCCTGTGAGAGGTGTGTGCTTCTGAGCACGAATCTATTTTCACTCTCAAAATTATATAGCAAAACGCCAGCTCTGCTTCTGCAGGGCGACTGTGGACAAGTTAACCTCTTCTGTGCCTGCTCCTGTTAACTCCACAGAGTTGTTGTGAAGAGTAATTGAGCTAAATGACACGAATAGTAAAAATAGAATAATCAGTCCGTCTACACATGAAATAAGCAATATCTGTAGAAAGGCTCTTGTCCAATTTGGTAGCCACAAGCCACACGGGACTTCTGAGTTACTTGGAAGTGGCAAGTGTGGCCGAGGAACTTAGCCTTTCGTTTTATTTCATTTAAATTTAACTGGCAGCCTGTGGCTTGCAGCTCCCTTGTTGGGTTGGATGGCATAGGCCTAACGAGTTAAGGGTCCCAAAGCAGGAGAAGAAATGGGTGGCACCTACATTTTGAGGGGCATTGGAATTTGATAAAAACATGCAATCGTGTTGATGGTGATGATACTAAAAGCAGGATTTGCTCTGTGTCACCTACTGTCATAAACATGTTTCTGTGCAAATCTTAGTGTTTATGACAACCCTGTGAGGAAGGGTATAATTGTTTCCATTTAACAGATGAAAACACAGATTCGGAGAGCTTAAGTTACCTCCTCAAGGTCTTCCAGTGAGTAAGAAGGTACATTTGAGTTTAGGTTGGCTTGCCTGGCCTGAAGTGGTGACAGCCTATTCCTGTCACCCAGAAGCCCTCTCAGAACCAACCGCCAGGACTAAAGACTAAGAAACAAGGAGGCCACAGATAATCCCCAAACCTTAATTTAATCAATAATTCAGTTTCTTGGACCAACACTCTTCTTATAGTGACCTGAGAGCAAATGTTTTCCTTCTTCTTTTTCTTTTCTTCTGTCGCCCAGGCTGGAGTGCAGTGGCCGCTCCCGGCCACCGCAGCCTCGACCTGTTGGGCTCCGGCGATCCTTCTGCCTCAGCCTTCCAAGTAGCCGGAATTACAGGCATGCGCTACCACGCCCGACTGATTTTTTGATTTATTGTAGAGATGAGGTCTTATTGCCCAGGCGGGTCTCGAACCCGCGGGCTCAGGCAATCCACTCACCTCAGCCTCCCAAAGGCGCAGGATTACAGGCTGAGCCACCGAGCCCAGCTCTTTTCTTTTCTTTTTGAGTCAGGGTCTCACTCTGTTGCCCAGGCTGGAGTGTGGTGGCATGTTCATGGCTTGTTGCAGCCTCAACCTCTCGGACTCAGGAGATCTTTCTGCCTCAGCCTCCTGTGTAGCTGGGACTATTGGCATGCAGAACCACGCTTGACTTTTTTTTTTTTTTTGAGTTGAAGTCTCACTCTGTTGCCCAGGCTGGATTGCAGGGGCATGCTCACAACCACCGCAGCCTCGACCTGCTGGACTTAGGTGACCCTTCCACCTCAGTCTTCCAAGTAGTTGGAACTACAGGCATGTACTACCACGTCCAGCCAATTTTTTGATTTATTTTAGAGACGAGGTCTCACCATGTTCCCCAGGCTGGTCTCGAACCCTCAGACTCAGGCAATCCTCTTACCTCGTCCTCCTAAAGTGCTGGGAATATAGGCTTGAGCCACCATGCTCGGCCTGCTGTTCTTTTTTTCTTCCTTTCCTCCTTTCTTTCCTTTTTAAAGGAATTATGAAATTAAAAGCAAAGTTGAGCCCACACATGCTGTTTTACCATCATAATGTAATTTCTATTAGATACCAACATGTGGATCCTGAGATTTCAAATAAGAACTGGTATTTCTGGGTTCTTATAAAAACTCAGTGGCTTAGTCCATCTGGGCAGCTGTAACAAAACGCTTACAAGCAACAGAAATTTACTTCTCACAGTTTGGGCAACTGGAAGTCCAACACCAGGGTCTCCGCATGGTTGGATTCTGGTTAGGGCATTCTTCCGACTAGCAGACTGCTGACTTTTCTCTGTGCCCTTATGTGATGGAAGGAGTGAGGGTCTCTTGGGAGTCCTGACCTTTAAAAAAAAAAAAAGAGGCCAGGTTCTGTGGCTCAGTCTGTAATCCCAGCACTTTGGGAGGCCGAGGCGAGAGGATTGCCTGAGCATGAGGGTTCGAGGCCCACCTGGACAACTTGGCGAGACCGCCTCTCTAAAATAAATAAAAAACTAACCGGGTGTGGTAGTGTGCACCTGTAGTTCCAGCTACTTGGAAGGCTGAGGCGGAAGGATCGCTAGAGCCCAGCAGGTCGAGGCTACCGTGGTTGGGAGCGTGCCACTGCACTCCAGTTTGGGCAACAGAGTGAGACTCCAACTCAAAGAAAAAAAAGAGAGAGAGAGCAAGAGAGAGATGGGGTCTTGCTATGTTGTCCTGGCTGAACTTGAACTCTTGACCTCAGGTAATTCCCCTGCCTCAGCCTCCTGAGTAGCTGAACTGTAGGGTTCCTTTGGTAAGGGCACCAATCCCATTCCTGAGAGCAGGGCTCTTATTCCCTCCCAAAGGCCTCACCTTTCTAATACCATCACCTTGGGGTTAAGATTTCAACATATACCTTTTGTGGGGGGGAGACCTGCACACATCCAGATCATAGCACAAAGCCAAATCTAGCAGCAGCTGGAGCTGAGCCCAACCTGCCCCCTGACCTGGTCCCATGCCCTCCGGTTTTCTGTATTCCGTGCGCCTCCCTGTGGTCTCTCTCTTGCTCTGCTCATTTTACCTGCCTCAGGGTGTAAATATCCACTGGCTTTTGACTTGGGCATATATCATGGTTCTGCACCTCTTTCCTCTTCACTCTAATTTCTCTTCTCTGTTCCATTGTTTAGAAAGAAAGCCATTCAGGCCTTAGAAAAGCCAAATTACTTCCATTTTTGTTAGAGACCTTTTATGACCAAGTAGAGACTCGGATTGAGTTTTAAATTTGGCTCCTGTTTCACCTGTTTTTCATCTATTGGAAATCCAAACCTTTTTTTTTGTTTTGAGTAGGAGTCTCACTGTTGCACAGGCTGGAGTACAGTGGCACGCTCAAGGCTGCTGCAGTCTCGACCTGCTGGACTCAGGCAATCCTTCCTTCTGCCTCCCCTTCCAAGTAGCTGGAACCAGCTACTTTTTTTTTTGAGTTGGAGTCTCACTCTGTCGCCCAGACTGGAGTGCAGTGGTCGTTCCCGGCCACCGCAGCCTCGACCTGCTGGACTCTGGCGATCCTGCCGCCTCAGCCTTCCAAGTAGCCGGAATTACAGGCATGCACTACCATGCCCAGCTGATTTTTTGATTTATTGTAGAGATGAGGTCTCGCTGCCCAGGTGGGTCTCGAACCCACGGGCTCAGGCAATCCACTCACCTTAGCCTCCCAAAGGCGCGAGATTACAGGCTGAGCCGCCGAGCCCGGCTTAAGTTTTTGATTTATTGTTGAGACGAGGTCTTGCCAACTTGCCCAGGCTGGTCTCAAACCCCTGGGCCAAGGCAGTATTCTTCTTGCCTCTGCCTCCCAAAGTGCTGGGATTATAGGCATGAGCCACCACGCCTAGCTGAGAATTCATTACTTTTAGGGGAGTTTTAAGGAGAGCTTTAGCACACTTTATTTTGGGGGAGAGGGGAAGGGGAGCATTCTAAGGTTTATCATCAAATTTTTCTTTTTTTTTGAGTTGGAGTCTCACTTTGTTTCCCAGGCTGAAGTGCAGTGACACCCTCATGGCCATCTCAGCGACGACCTGCCAGGCTGGGGCGATCCTTTTGCCACAGCCTTCCAAGTAGGCGGAACTACAGGTGTGTGCTTCCACACCTGGCTAATTTTTTGATATGTTGTAGAGATGAGGTCTTGCCAAGTTGCCCAGGCTGGTCTATCATCAATTTTTTTTTTTTTTTTTTTTTTGATTTGGAGTCTCACTCTGTCCCCCAAACGGG